GGCCACCCTAACACTCAGGGCAAATATATCGCATGAACCACCTCACAGTCATGTGTAACCTCCTGGGACAACCTGTTTGCTCAAACTACCTCATGAAATTTGTTTGCACTTGATCTTAGGCCAAGGAACCACAGGAAAGCTGCATGGACCAGACCCTGGACTTCAATAAAGTCCTCAGCCTGCAGGGTCCTTTCCTTTTCACTCACCCAATTACCTGACTTCTAGACACCAAGACCTATACAAAAGTCTGTTTTCATGTTGTGTCCTGATCATTTTGCAAAGTGGTCTCCAACATAAAGATCTGAAATTCCAACTGACCCAGACTCCAGGAAAGCATTAGAGCAGCTACAGGAACCAAGCCCAGAGGTACCAAGAGGAGCTTGGGCAGAGACTCCTGGAGGATGCCCTACTTACTCCCAGCGCATCTCAATCAGCGTAACTCTTTAACTATGAGAATTCTGAACATGAATGCCTGACTGCATGGAAAACATAAAGTAATGGTGACGTCATTCATGGTGTGTCCAGCCCAGCATCCTCGTCTCCTCCCTCTCTCCCATGACTTTAGCTTTATGCTCTTCTCCATCCCAAGACTTCAAATGCACTTAGCTGAACGACTGAGCAGATGATTAAGTGGTGAGGAAAGGGTGGAGGGGTAACAACTAGCCAGCAGTGAAGGGGTAAATGAGGGCCCATGTGCCAATACAATTAGATCACAATCAGAGATTAAGCTAATCATAGCCAGAATCCAGAACCGGGGTGCTGGAGTGTGTGTGTGTGTGTGTGTATATGTGTGTGTGTGTGTGTGTGTGTGTGTGTATGTATACATGTGTGTGTACATGTGTATGTACATGTGTGTGTGTACGTGTGTGTACATGTGTGTACATGTGTGTGAGTGTTCTTGAGTGCTTGTGATACCCATGCTCCTCAGCAGTCACCCATCTTGGTTTTTGTTTGGTTGGTTGGTTGGTTTTGGTTTTTCGAGACAGGCTTTCTCTGTGTAGCTTTGCACCTTTCCTTGAACTCACTCTGTAGCCCAGGCTGACCTCGAACTCACTCTGTAGCCCAGGCTGGCCTCGAACTCACAGAGATCCACCTGGCTCTGCCTCCCAAGTGCTGGGATTAAAGGCGTGCGCCGCCGCCGCCGCCGCCGCCGCCGCCGCCGCCGCCACCACCCAGCCACCCTTCTTGTTTTTGAAGACAAGGTATCTCAATGGTACCTGGAGCTTGCAGGGTAGGTGAGCCTGACTGTCTAGTGAGCTTCCCCAGCTCTGGGATTACAAGCCCACCCCACCATGCCTGGCTGGTATACCTGGGTTCTGAGGCTCAAGTCTAGCTCCTAATGATTGCAGGGCATGCACTTTACCAACTGCCATTTCCCCAACCCTATTTTCTTTTGATGTCCTGGATTTTATATTACGTTTGTTTTGTGTACACACACACACATACACACATGTATATATGTTGAGGGGGTTGTCTGAGCACCATGGCACCTCATGAAAATGAGAAAGGACAACTTGGGAGTCAGTTCTCTCCTACCATCTGAGTCCCAAGGATCAAACTCAGGTAGTCAAGCAGATATCTCTTTTTTGAGACAAAGTTTTATCCTGGAACCCGGGCTGGCCTTGAACTTGTGGTCCTCCTGCCTCTGCTTTCCCCGTAACTGGTTGACCAGCTTGAACAACCAGGCAGGCATGGCTCAGTTTTCCTTTAGTGAATTGGCGATGCTCTCAGATCTCAGCCTTCTCCTCTGGGAGCTTTTCCGATCTCAGGCACACACAGGGAAGAGTAGGTAAAGAACTTAGCAGAGAGCAGGAAGTGAGCAGATCACCCCGTGTGTTGAATGGCTACCAACCAGCCATGTTTTACGAGGATCCCTAGCCTTTGTGGAGAAAAAAAGTCCATGTGTACTAGGCAGTGCCCCTGGAACCCACGCCCATGGTACACATAAGAGGAAGGCTGAATGTCTTGACTGAGAAGCAATGGGAAGCCTTCTCAAGGTTTGGAGAAGGGTGAATGTGCACAGATTTGTGTTTTGAAAAGCCATTCCACCTGGAGTGTTAGGGAAACAATGGGGGTCTGCCCTGCTTACCTGGGGTAGGGCAGCTGTAGAGACTCTGGTGGGGTCCGCCAGGGTGACGCAGGCCTGGGGTGGAAGGTAGAGCAGAGACGTGGACAGAAGGGAGGTCCCGACACTACAGGCTGAGGAGGGAGAGAGGGATCCACACCATCAGGCCTGGACTCGCCCTCACGTGGACAAATCCACAGTGCCCTGTACTGAAAGGCTGCTAGCCTCCACCTGGGTTGTGGGGACAGCCCCTCAACAGTGTCTCCTTGCAGCTGGCACACCCAGGCCTTGGTAATCACCCCCTCCTCGCCTACTTCACACAGGATACTGAAGACTCTCCCACTAGGAACCAAAATGACAGTTCAGGGACACAGGGAGAGCAGCTTTCTGTGCCAAAAAGAGTGGCTGTGGCCTTCTCCAGGTGAAGACAGTGGCGGCAGCAGCAGGGCAGACTGTTGACATGCTCACTGGTGGCTCTAAAATTGGCCCACCGAGGAGCCCGCTTGGCTTCTTGAACAGCCCTTCAGAAGTGAGACCTTGACCTTCCTTCTGACCTTTGAGCTGCTAGACCAGAACTCCACGATGTCCTAAACTACTCACCAGGGCTGGGCCTTTAGAAATTAGCAGCGTCCACTTCCTGAGTTCTGGGACCCTTGCCCTTGACTCACTTAGCCCCAAGCTGCCCTGCAGAGAGAATCCCCAGCCAACACCTTCCAGGCAGCAACAGAAAGTGCCATATTGAAGTGAGGGTACCACACCATGGGCCAGCATGGCTGGCACCACAAGGAGCAGGCGCCGCAGAGCCCCGCCAGAATGCACACACGGGACCTCTTGAGTCGTGGTTGTTTTCACCTCCACCTTCAGGGCATGTCCTTAGGCAACAGTGACAGCCTGAATGCAAGCTCCCATGGAGGTTTCTGTCCACCAATCCCCAGCCACCCCACTGTAGCCAGCCCAGAGGGTGAGTGACAGGCCCTTCTGTGATCCCCAAGCATCTGCTGTGTTCCTCACGTGTGTCCCAGAACTTCAGCAGCAGTGCGTGGTGAGATTTTGTTTATGATCTAACAAATAAAGCTTGCCTGGAGATAGGAGTGGGGAGCTAAGCCACTAGTTTGCCACAGAGGCTGGGCAGTGGTGGCGCACACCTTCAATCCCAGCACTCAGGAGGCAGAGGCAGGTGGATCTCCATGAGTTCAAGGCTACCCTGGGCTACACAAGGTTGATCCAGTCTAAAAGAAACAGAGTCAGGCAATGGTGGCACACACCTTTGATCCCAGCACTAGGGAGGTGGAGACAGGAAGTGATAGGGCTGGAAGGAGAGAGGAATATAAGGGGGAGGAGACAGGAACTCAGGTCCCTTTCAGCTGAGGATTTTGTAGAGGTAAGAACTAGTGGCTGGCTGCTCTGCTCCTCTGATCTTCAGCCCGATATCTGACCCTGGGTTTTTATTAATAATAATAATTTAATAAGACCAGTTAGGATTCGTGCTACAGCAGCATAGGGGCCACATGAGCCCGAAGACTTCCTGCTTGGCCACACATTTAGCTGCGCTTTCTTTCCAGCTCAATCTCCTCATATTGTTTGTGGGATGGGCTCAAAATCCATGGGCATCCTGGCCTGGCCACTCGCCAGCTAGGAGGCACTCCCAGCACAGGCCACGACTCTGAGCGGTTTCTTCCGTCTACAGGACAGAAATACAAATGCCACAGTGTAGAGGCCAGCTTAAGGAAAGACAAGGCACAAAAATCCATTTGTGCCAGCAAGATGACTCACCTAGTAGAGATGATTGACACCAAGCCTGATGACCCCAGGCCCCACGTGGCGGAGAGAACTGACGGCCACAGGTATCCTCTGACCTCCACATGTGTCTGTGCATAGACAGGCACAAAATAAATAAAATGTAATTTAAATGTGTATTCCTTTGTTAAGTGAACTTGTTGATTATATAACTGAATATAAATAAAAATAATAAAGGCAAAAATTAAAAACAGTACAAAATATAAAGCCCAATTCCTTTCCTGTTCTCTGTGTCTCTCTCTTTCTCTCCTTTCCTCTCTCCCTCCCCCCCTCCCTCCTCTCTTCTCTCTCCCCTTCTAGGGCCCACAGCTCACCCACAGTCCATCCCAATCGTCTAGGTTTTGTAGATCCAAGATCTGGAATCTGTGATGTGAGACTTCCCTAAACTCTCACAGACCCACAGCTTAAAACAATAGTAACGATGAAAGCACTCACATGCCTTCCCGTCCCTGTGGGCCCCCCTTAGGAAAGGGTATTGGAGAACAGGCAGCTGCCCCAGCCTGAGTGAGGCTTCCTGGGGCCGACACAAAATCCAAGCAGCATGGCCAAGGCCACCAAATACACTTTGTCCCTATGTGGACCCTTCACGCATGAAAGAGACACTGTTGGGGTTGGCAGCAAACCTCTGGGCAGAACCCAGGGGCTTGCCCACGAGAGGGTATCCTCCCTCAGTAACGACATTTGGATCAAGTGGGCTCTAGGCTGTGGAGATGGGCGTGAGGCGTCTCCAGCTGCCCTCAGCAACCAGAACACCCTGTCTCAGCCTCACCCGGCCACTTTGACCCTACTAGTCCTTACGCTCCTGACCCTGCCATCTTCTGTCCCCTTCTGTGGTAGCTCTGTACCTACACTACATGTCCCCAAGACAAGGTCAACACCACAGGGGGACAGGGACTTCGCCCTCACCCATCTTCCATATTCTTCCCTGGTGTTCTTGGGGGATCCCTGTCAAGTTTACCACTCTGGCTCACCCAGCTGTTTATCAGACCAAAGCAGTGACCCGAGTGACCTGTTCCCAGCCAAGGCCACTGGTCCCTAGTCATCCACTCCTGAACTGGGACAGGTAAGAGTTGAAATTTAACCACTAGGTTCAGAGGTTTCGATGAGTTCCTCAAAAAAAAAAGGGGGGGCGCACCCCACTCCACAGTGGCCCTGACCCAAACAAGGGCAGACAGCAGGGAACTGGCACACTTATGCTCAGAGCCACGATGCTGGGGAGAGGCCCTCACAAGCCCTTAGCCATCCTCAGGCACATGGGGCTTCTCCGTGCCATGAGGCCACAGCGCTGGCGCTCCTGGCATTCCTGTGCGGAGCAACGCAGCGGCTGTGCCCGTAAGTAGATCCTTCGGCTGTCCAGGTGTGAGTTAATGTTGGTGCAGACCTTAGGGTGGCTTTAAGAGGCAACACGGTCCAGAGCTGACCGGCTTCCATTCTGATTTGTACAGTGTCTCTGGCATCTGGTGGCCCTGAGTGAGCCACTTAACTCTGGTTAAGGGGTAAAAGGGGGGAAGAGGTACTGGGGATGTGCAGTACATGCCCCAAGCCTCCAACTGGGTCTAAGAGACTCCCCTGTAAAATACGTGTCCTGACTCAGCACTCAAAGTGCCTGGGCTACAGACTCGGGGCTTCAGCATGTGGAAGGGCCAGGCCCCGAGTCCTAAGTGTAGACAACAGGTGACTTTGGAGAGGTGACAGCCTTACTAAATGCCCTGCCTCCCTAAGCCTTGGTTTCCTCATCCACAGGACAGGCAAGACAGATGCTGTCTCTGGCATCTGGTGAGAAGCCAGTGTGAAAAGCTGGGTGCCCAGGGTGCCCAGCACCCACAGCCCTGTCTGCAAACCCTGGGGCAACCAAAGAAGCATCCAGGCCTCCAAGCCTGCTCCTCCAAGCAGGAGCTCAGGCCTGGAAGGATAACAGAGAGGCTGGAGAGATGAACGTCATCCCCCAGTGGTCCCAGCCCAATGTCCAGACTCTGGAGGCAAGAGCTACTCAGATGCAGGGAGTAGGAATCCAAGCTGCCCTCCATAGATCAGCCATTGTGACCCACGTGTCACACCCCCACCCAGGAGGATCTGGGGTGAAAACCTTGTCACCTCTTTCCTGTCCTTTCATGGACACAGCTGTCCTTCATGGCTTTCCAGACGTGTAGTACCTTCGGAGAGCCTCTTGGAGATACAGAACCCAGCTCTGACCAGCCTCTCTGTAAGGCCAACCATACTGGAGGGGTGCACCCACCTAGATTGCCACACAATCAGCACCAGGCCATGGTCTATACCCTCTTTGTAGTCTAGCACTTTCCAAGACCACGTGCAGGTAGGGAAGGATTACACACAGCCATGAAGCAAGGAGGGTGGGAATGGCTGAGATCTCAGGTGAGGGTCCGTCTCATGACTCTCCTCCTGCTCCTTCTATGAGGAAATGTTAATGGGAACATGTTACTGGTCTCCTGTGGGTGATCACAGCTGCTCTTATTCCAAGATGGCTGCAGTCATATCACACCCAGAGGACATTCCACAGCTGTCAAGGAAGGGTAATAAGAGTATTGACCACTGCAAGTTGTTAAAAGAACAAAACAAGGTCCTCATTTTGGTCAGCAAGCCCAGGTCTTGTTCTATTCAGACACACCCTGTGGGCAAACGGCTCTTGTGGTGCTCTAAGCCTAGGCCCTGAGGGTCCAAAGCCCAGGGACAAGACTGGCCGAACCAGAGGCTCACAGCTCCAAGCCGAGAGCTGGGGGCGCTGCCCTGGGTTTTATAGGCCGGAGTCTTCTGGCTCCAGGATCTCAGGTTCGAGGCTCACGGCTCTGACCTTTCACCCCGGCACTTGGCAACTCTGCTGTCCTTGGCTCTAACAGTTGGGAGCAGCAGACAGCAGTTGCTAGCGTTACTGCTCCAGAACGTGCCTAGGGTGGGGGGATCCTCCACCCACGGCAGGAGGTAGTGCCACGGCTGTCGTGCCTACAGTGCCTGAAGCTTGGCTCCTAAGGCTTGGCAGCGCCCTGGAACTCACCTGGTGACTGAGGTGGGCAGCTTCTCATCTTCCATCTTCCTAAAGCCCAATGTCACCACTGCTCTGCTCCCGACCCCGTCACTCCCTGGAGCTCTTCATCTGTCCTCTCAGTGCTTCTGAGACAACTCATGTCAACACGGCTGCCCCCAACAACAGCCCCCTCTGTCCCCTCTTCCCGTTACCTGCTCAGCCCAAAGACAAGGCTGAGAGAAGCCTTCTCCACCCCACCCTACCCCACTCCACCCCCAAGACAGGGTTTCTCTGTGTAGCCCTGGCTGTCCCGATACTCGTTCCATAGCCCAGGCTGGCCTCTAACTCAGAGATCTGCCTGCCTCTGCTTCTCAAGTGCTGGGATGAAAGGAATGTGCCACCTGATGTTGCAAAATGAGAGGACAGGGCAGAGAGGTGTCCCCCAGCTGACTCCAAAAGGGAACTAAGTAAATTAGTTGTATAGTCAGAGGTGGGTGTGGCAAGGGTTTACACCAATCACGGCACAGCCCTGCATGCAAATGAAGGATTGGGTATGTACCAATCACGGGCCTTTTTCTGGGCCACCAAGGTACTCCCCCTCTGGTCTGTGTGGACATAGCTGCAAGAGACAACTGGAATTCACTGAGGCTGGTCTTGTAATCTCCAGTGCTGAGGAGCAGAGACAAGCAGATCCTTGGGACTCAATGGCAAGGTAACCTAGCCACTCAGTTAGGTCCACGTCAATGAGAGAACATGTCTCAAAAAAAGAAAAAGATGGATGGCAGCTGAGAAATGACACCCAAGATTGTCCTCTGCCCTCTATAAACATCCAGGCATATGGACACCAATACACAAAGGTTTTCCTACCCAGGAGAACTAATTATCAACCGTTGTCATCTCCTGGCTGCATGTTTCTGGCTGAAGTTTCTTGGTTTGGTTTGGTTTGGTTTGGTTGAGACAGGGTCTCATTATGGATTGTGAAGCTCTCAGACTGGCCTGAAACTCTCTATGTAGACCTGGCTGGCCTTAAATTCTGAGATCTACCTGTCTGCCTCCAGAGTGCTGGGGTTTGTGGAATATTCCTTTACACTGTGTGAATATATATCACTGTGATTGGTTTTAAGAAAAAAAGCTAAATGCCAGGGATTAAAGGCACTTAGGCATGAACCTTTTAATAGGTTTTTCATGCTCACAAGTTGGTGGGTCTTCCCAGGGCTTGACTTACCCAGGGTCACACTGGGTCACATCCTAGATGGGGGGGCGGGGCGGCACATCTGTTCAATGCATTTCTCACACACCCCAATTTTCTCATCCCTCCCCACTCAGCCAGCAGCCACCAGGGATGTGGTTTACTCATGGAGAGCCCAATCATGCAAACATAGTTAAAGCCTCTACTCAGCCAGAAAAGCAGAGGCATGTAGAGCTCTGTGAACTGGAGGCCAGCCTGGTCTAATAGTGAGTTCTAGGATAGCCCAGGTTAGGTAGGAAGACAAAGCAAAATACAAATAAATTAAATTAAAAAATAATGTCCCTGTTTACATCATGTCCACTGATATCCCAAGTGGGAGCAAGTTGGCAGGGGTCCCACCCAGTGACGGTGGCATGGGGCACTGCTCTTCTTGGGAGGACTGAGGGGAAGGAGTAGGTGTCTGCATCTGCAGTTTGGTCAGCCGGGAGGATGGAAACTCAGGGAGTGAGGAGGTCCAGTTGGTGACAAGTCTTCACTCTTGTCACCAGATTAGTTCCCGGGGACAGAGGGTTGGGCTCTATTGTCAGCTCATGCCATTGGCACCTGGGCCACAGTCGCTCCATGGACCTCTGCATGGCTTTGTTAAATGATTCAAAAGAGAAACTCTGTTTCATTTGTGTTACTTCCCATCTGAAAACAAACCAACTTACTATGATGGTGATGAGATAGATAGATAGATAGATAGATAGATAGATAGATAGATAGATAGATAGATAGATAGATATAGATAATTTCTTTTTGAGACAAAGGTCTCACTTGGTTGTTTTATCTTCGGCACAATGGCTGCACCTTAATCTGCTATCTCAGCCAGCAATTGTGACTCCGCAGTTATCAGCCTGCTTCTCTGGCAGCAGCCTGGCCACTCAGGCCTCAGCCTGGTGGGGATTCTCTTCCTGCAAGCACCAGCTGTCGCTAAAGGTAGCTTTAACTAAATCTCTATTGTTCTGGGTGAATGCCGGCTAGCTCAGAGAGGTTGAGTAGCAACTAGCTAACCTCGGTTGCTGTTTGTCTCCCAAACAGCATGTCTTTCTGCTCTGCCAAAAACAAACAAACAAACAAAAAAATGCCATGCCGCTCAAAATCCCTTGCTACTACTTCTGGTATGTCTTTGTGTCTCTTCCAGATGCCCTCTGATGCTCTATGATTACTTTCTATCCAATAGTTGCTAACTCAGCCTCCTGACCCAACGTTAATTTTACTTAATTGATGCAAATGCTAACTCGGGTTCACAGTGTAAGCGAATATCCTCTGGCTTCAAACTCACAGATATACCTGCCTCTGCCTCCAAGTGTAGAAATTAAAGGTGAGCACCAACATGCCAGACCATGGGGCCAACTTTACCTAGCTTGAGCCTCGTTTTTGCTGTGAGAGGTGTCATATGAGGCCATATGAGACTCATTTTGTATTCAGGTGGCATCAGTACTTTAGATGCACCAATAAGCAGCTCCCCCTCATTTGGTGGCAGATGCTCTGCTCAGTACAGGTGTTTCCCTCTTGGTGGTCTCACTTACACAGCTCAGCAAACAGATCCTAAAACATCCACTCTTCCCACACCTTGAGTTTCTTGGTCAGGGAAGCCTGAGATGTCAGACTGGAAGAGAGCTCTGGTTGGGCCTTTGGACACTCTTGCATTTGGTTTAAATTCAGCCTTCTGCAGCTGTGTTAAATACCCGTTGTCCAGTGGGAAGGTCAAATGCATGATTTGTAACATGTAAACTCAAGTCTCTCTTACCACAGATGTAGTCGAGGTCTGTGCTGCTCCACGGCTCTCTTAATGGAGCACAAGGAATCCAGGCTTGGCGGCCCATGACTTTAATCCCAGCACTCTAGAAGCAGAGGCAAGGGGAATCTCTGTGAGGTCCGGGCCAGCCTGGTCTACATAGCAAGCTTCAGGATAGTCAGAGCTACATAGATTGTCTGGGGCGGGGGGTGACACCTAAATAATAAAATAGAGCACAGGCCAACAAAAGCAGGATTTCTGCTGTCACTTTGCCTTAGAATAAAAAAGGGACACTGATGAGGCTCTGGATGGCCACAACATTTCAGCTGGTTGTGGTGGCTCTCAAGTCTTGTGATATATCACAAGAAGGGGCACACATGGGCAGAAGCAGGAGAAGTCTGCTGAGCTCTTTGGGACCAGCTTGGGAGGAAGATTTAACCATCACCCCATGGGAGGGATGTGCCACATTTTGCTGGACTATCAGGCAGGAGCGAGAGCCAGTACACATTCCATGTCTGTGACCCAGGGGGCTGGTAACAATTTGTTGAGATACTTCCACTCCACCCAAATAGATATTTTGAGCAGGCATGAGGAAGCAGGGAGCCCCAGGCTCTTGAGTGCCAAGGACTAGGGGCTAGTCCCAGAGGCTTTCAGCTCCAAGCCAGGAGAGCCTAGGGATGATTGCTCCAGAATTTAGAAGCTAAGGGCCCATGGCTCTAGGTGCACAAGTTGGAGGCTTACTGCTCTGGGCTTCATCCCCAGCAGCCTGGTGTCTGACAGCTGGTTTAATCCTAAATTTCCTAAAGATCAGCAGCAGGCAACACCTGATCATTTTATAGGTCTTGAGGACTGGGACTTCTGTTTCTTTTTGGTTTTGTTTTTTGTTTGTTTGTTTGTTTGTTTTTGTTTTTGTTTTTCAAGACAGGGTTTCTCTGTATAGGTTTGGTGCTTGTCCTGGATCTCGCTTTGTAGACCAGGCTGGCCTCAAATTCACAGAGATCCACCTAGCTCTGCCTCCCGAATGCTGGGATTAAAGGTGTGAGCCACCATCACCCAGCTGGGACCTTTGTTTCTTATAGCTACCAGCATTACAGTTTTGGGGCCTCGGGTGTCCGGAACCATTGGCTCCTGAGTCCTGGCAGCTTCCTGGAACTCTTCCAGTAACTGGGACCTATAGTTTCTCATCTCTGCTCCACCAACTAGCTTCTGTCCCTAGCTGCTCTCTGGAACTTTTCAGGTCCCCCTTGTCCCAGCTGCTGCTATTCCTACCACTGAAACAAGCTAAAGATCTCCCTCCTTTTCCTTATGGTCACACTCTCGACAAAGACCACACAGAAGCCAAACTCACATAGGCACAGGCCGGCGAATGAGCCAAGAGCTTGCATATTTATGTACATATAGGAGTTAAGTGGCTGGGCCGCCAGAAGGTTCCAGGGCTCCGTACTGGGTCTGTTTCTCAGAGTAGGGTCCCTGTTGCCTTATGTCTGCACTACTGACCGCTCAGTCAAGGTCTCCTCTCCGTCTCCAGGGCACCCCCTCTGGAGTGGCCCAGTCTCCTCAGTGGGAGGCACCCGGCAGTCTCCCATCAACATCCAGTGGAGAGACAGTGTGTATGACCCACAGCTGGCACCACTCAAGGTCTCCTATGATGCTACATCCTGCAGGTACCTCTGGAACACTGGCTACTTCTTCCAGGTGGAGTTTGATGATGCCCATGAGGAGTCAGGTAAGCCTGGGCCGGGGTTTGGGGGCTCGGGTCCAGGCAGTCAACCTTTGAATCTGAAATGTTCCTAAGCTGGAGCACTTGAGTACCTGGTCCCCCACGGATAGCTCTGTTTATTGAGATATAGAACCATTAAGAGATGGATCTCTGCCTCCCAAGTGATAGGATTAAAGGTGTGTGCGCTACCACTGCCTAACCTCTATGTTTAATATAGTAGCTGTTCTGTTCTCTGACCCCCAGATAGGTTTATTGGGGTGCATAATATATCAACCACAGTAGGGTCCCTTCCCATGCCAGGGCTGAAGAAAAAAAACCCTTTCTGGAGGAAGTGGGTCACCGGGGCAAGTCTTGGGGCCATATATCATCCCTGGATCCTTCCCTTTCCTCCCCTTACTCGTGTGTGTGTGTGTGTGTGTGTGTGTGTGTGTGTGTGTGTGTGTGTGTACGGGGGTGTGCATGTGCCTATCTATGAGGTCAGAAGTCAACTTCAGGTGTCATCCTCATGAGCCTTCCATCTTGATTTTTGAGACACAGGATCTCTCGCTGGCCTGAGGCCACCCAGTAGACTAGGCTGGCTGGCCAGCAAGCCCCAGCTCTGCCTGGCCGCAGCTCTGGAACACTGGAATTACATGCACGAGCACCGTGTCTGGCTTTTTATGTGGATTCTGGGGGTCAGGTCCTCATGCTGGTGTGGCTGAGTCATCTCCCAGCCCCGGCTCCTTTCTCCAGTTTCTGCTGCTCCGCTGTCCTTCCCAAGGCAATGGACTGTGCCCTCTGGAAACTGGCAGCCAAAACAAACCTGGCGGATCTTACACTGCTTCTGTGAGGTACTGGGCCTCGGGAATCTACAAGTAACTAACACAGTGGCCATTCCTGTCTCTGACTCTGTGGTGTCACAGACTCAGCAAAGAAGGGGAACCTGGGCAGGGCTGGGAGGTCGTGCTCACGGGGGGGGGGGGGGGGAGTCACCAGCAGTCACCTGAGTCTTGATCCCTTGTGAGGATGAAAGCAGAAATAGAGTAGGGTGTAACATGACTCTTTTGTTTGTTTGTTTGTTTGTTTTTGTTTTTCGAGACAGGGTTTCTCTGTGTAGCTTTGCGCCTTTCCTGGAACTCACTTGGTAGCCCAGGCTGGCCTCGAACTCACAGAGATCC